ATTTGAAAAAAAAATTTAAAAACCCTTTTCTGCATATGAATAAAGGGGCGGACGACCACCACTGCCAAAATGTATAAAGCCTGAAGGACTGAGGGAATTTGACAGATTTGACAGAGGGGACGGTTCGATTTTAAAATTTTGCCACCCTTTCGAGGGCATAAACTTTTATTTACATGTATTTAAAATTTATGTGACAAAAACAACTTTTAAGTAAAGTTTTGGGGTTTTATTTTAAATTTCCAAAATATCCCCTTTACATCTAAAAATTGAGTGTAAATTAAACATTTTAACATAAGGGGGGGCCTACAATCAAAAATTTTAAAATTTGGGCATTGTCTCTTTTACTGTTACTTTTAACGTATTCTCTTCACACTGTATTTGAATGGCTATCAATTTCAAAATAACCGCACTACCCATATCAGCAAAGATTATCAGGGGGGCCCTTTTTTCTCACTCCTGACTAGTCTCACAACTTCTCATGGGTACTCCATATGCGAGATACCAAATGTAACGGTGGAGACATCGGAAACCCACATTCAAACTACGTTGCACCATAAGAAAGGGCAGTATACACCATCAATGCTGGTCATTCGTGGTAAGATAATCCAAATTCATGTAGTTATTGCTGTTACAATGTATGCTCTGTCAATTTCGTGCACAAAATAAAAGGATCCTTTTGAATTGTTGAATAAAGGGGACAAGTCAGACTTTCTGTCTATTTATTCTTTGGAAACAGCTAGAGCTTAATAAATGCTTTTTTCTCACCCTTTGGGAAAAGTGTACTAAGCCCATTTCGCCCGTTTGAAAAACCCAACATACTTCCTCTTTGGGAATTTCTTTTTGAATATTTTTTAATGAAATAATTAACCCAAATTAATAAATTTGAAACTTTTGTTGAATTTTTAACAATTAAAAGTCTAACAAAATTTTTTAAAAACCCTTAAAAAAACTATGAAAAAGGGGACTGACTTAAAAAAGCTTAAAACCCGAAGGAAAAAATACATTAAAGAAATTTAACATATTATTTTCTGAAAAAGGGACTATCTATTTTTAAATTTAAATTTTTAAAATTAAAAAAAAAAAAAAAAAAGGGAAATTTATGATCCAGGTTTTTAACTCGTTCTCCTGTGGGAGGCTCCCATGGGTACCCCCCTGGGGCTAATGCCACATTCCGAGATGCTATGACATCTTTAAAAAGAGTTTTTCATAATTTTTTATTTCCCTCAAAGCAGACCCATGTGGAAAATTTTAAAGTTTAAATACTTCTATTAAAACGTATCTTTAAATTGTTTTGAGATTGCGATAAATTTTTTTTTCACAAAAATAAATTGGGAAATTTTTTCTTTTTCTAAACCTTTTTTTAAAAAAAACAAAAAAAAACCTCTTAATCACTGGTGTTAAAAAGCCCCAGTTGGGATGTTTTGTTGGGTTTTTTTTAGGGGCGACAGAACCGGACCCAGATCAAGTATTAGCAATAAAATAGCTTGAACAGGGATTTAACTTCTTTTAATGAATCAATTAAAAAATTTCATAACAACACCCTTTCTTTAAATTTTAAAAGAAATATTTTTGGGCATAAGTTTGAATCTCAGCATTTATGGTTTTAAAACGTTTCATATTTAAATTTTTTTAACCTGCCAGAAAATTTTTTTTACATATTTTCAGTGGAAAACCCTCCCAACTCGGGACCAAAACATAATCGTACTAATTTTTGTGAAAGTGCCTTTTAAATTTTCTAGAAAAAATTATTTTCCCGGGAAAACCCTTTATTAAAAAATATGTAAAGAATCAAAATTTTTAAAAACTTTAGAATAAAAAAATTTAATTTAAGTTGAGTGCAATATACATGCTCCATTGTTTGGGTTTTACTGAAATCAATGCCCGAAATGATGTTTAATATTTTGATAAAAAATCTTTTTTGGAAAAGAGCCCCAAATGCCTTTTTTTTAAAGATATAGTTGAAACCCCCTTTTTACATTTTAAAACACAATGGGTAAAAGATTTTTTTTGGGGCACTTTTTTCTGATACTTTTTAATTTTCCCTTAAAAACACCAAAAAAACGTGAAAATTTTTTTTATTTTTCTGGGAAAAAGGGTATTTCCAAAAGAAATTAAAAACATACTAAATGGGAAAAAAAATGATTCTATAATTCTTAACTTTTTTAAAAGTTTTAAGGGGTTTAACTTATAAATAAAAACCCAAAAAAAAGAACTTTTCATCCCAAAATTTTTTTTTTGCCAAATTTTTGGGGGAAAAATCCAAAAGGGGTTTTTGTGAACCAGCCTTTATAATTTCTGCACAATTTTTTTTTTTTTCCCAAAAAAAATAAGCAAATCCGTTTAACCGTTTTTTTTTGAAGACAATAAACGTGTCAAAAAATTTGGGAAAAAAGGAATCGAAAAAACGTTTTTTAAAAGGTTTTTTTAAAATTTTCGATTTCAAAGACAAAAACCCCCGTTTAAATTAAAAAACCCATATGCCCCCATACCTGCTTTATACATTCTTTTTAAATTTTTGTGTCCGTTCCTGTTAAAATTTCCAAAAAATTACTCATTAGCTAATTTACTGGGAAATTTTGAGTTTTTTTAATGTGTAACCCTTTATAATGATTTAGTCCAAAAAAGTTACTTTGTTAATATTTTACAAACAATTTTTTTACCGAAATTTAAACCAATCAGTATACATTGGGGAAAGGTGAAAGAAATCAAACTTACCCCAAACAACCCATTTTTAAACCCCTTTAAAACTAAACATTTCCCTTTTAAAAAAGAAAAATAATTTTTTTCATTTCAAAAACCCATACTGTTTTTTTTACCCCAACCGTTTTTAAAACAAATTTTTCCCCAAGCAAGAAAATTAAACAAAATCTTTATCACTGGCTTTAAATTTATTTTCAAACAGCGTTTATACCGGGAGAGTTTTGGTGGGTACATATTAACACGACGAACCCAGAAAGGCAGAGGTCATTGCTAAGAGCCGTGGCAAAGTTTTAATAGACGCAACTGACTTTGGGTATATAGATAAAGCCTTTGAGGAAAGCCAATAAAAAAAGATAAGGGAAATTTACACGTTTTTAGATCTGTTTAAAAAATCAAAGGAAATGGTGAATAGTAACCCTTTTTACTGGCAGCCAACTGGTAAGTTTCTGTTATTAAAATTTCAAAGAATTCATGAAATTTATTGCCCCGCGGCTTAAAAACTAACATGCATTAATTTCGCCATTTACACAAATTTCTACTTACGGTTTATAAATAAAATGAATTTTCAACACCCGGACTTTAATGTTTTTTAGGAATTGAGATTTTTCTTTAGGTGTTTTTATGTCATTACCCAAAATATTTTTTTTTTTTTTCAAACGGTTTCAAAATGTGATGCCTCATTTCCGAAGTAATTATTATCAACTGCCCTGTTAAATATTTAGTTTTCATTTTCAAATTGAGTTTGGGAAAGTTGACGAAATGATCGGCTTATTAAAACCAACCGCCCTTAGGTTTATATTTAAGTATATAGTTTATAGTTTTTTATTATTTAAAACATAGCACCTTCATTGCAAAGCTAATGATAAAAAAAATTGTGTATCCATTATTTTATTAAAGCGTACGATTTGTTAGGTTTGATTCATTTAATAAGCTTACCCCGGAATACTTGTGTTACTCTTTTTAATTTAAGGGTTGTTAAAAAAAAATCGATGCCTTACAAAAAGTTTTCCTTAAAAAAAGTTTATATAAACCCACAATTTTTTATTTGCAACCCACTATCCAATTGGGCCAGGGTTAAATTTTTATATAGGTGGCACTTGGAAAGGTGTGTTTCATACGGCATAGCTTTCGGAATTTCCAGTTCGCCTTTTCCGGAAACCACGTCTACTTCAACTTATTTCTTGCTTCAGTTTCCTTCCTTGAATTACCCTTATTAAGGCTATTGCACTTTGGGCTTCAGAACAGGTGGGTACTTTTAGTTTTTCCCAAATAACGCATTTGTCCAGTGAAGAAAAAGAAATCAAAGAGTAAAACTTACACGCATAAAAGGAATTTTTATTAAATATACATTATTGACAGCCATTCGGGTTTTAAAATGACGTGGTCTAGACTGACCTTAGACCGACCTATCATTATTGGCGACCCTTAGTGATCAGCTATTCAAGTAACTTTCATAAATAGCAACACATCTGGACAAGTTGTACATTAGTTTTAACTTATTTTATGTCATTTTATGGTTAATGAATTTGTAAATAAAAAACTTTTAAGATACTTTTTATAATTAAGATTAAATACATAAGAAATTCACGTACAATGAGTTGTTTTACATTTGATGCTAAAAATATACACATTTATGCTACATGTATATTAGTATAACATATACATTATCCCTCAGAATGTAACCATTTATAAGTTTTTAACATTATGTATGTTTCTTTATTAACATTTATTTTCAGATTTGGACGAAGATTTACTTCTATATTATGCTTTTCTACTGTTGCTTTAGGAGGCAGTGTTTGTCGTATCGTTCAAAACTTTAGGTATTTGAAAAACCCCAAGCTTTAAAGCAGCACGCCCCCAGATTTTTCATGCTTTTTTATGAAAATTTTGAAAATAGATTTAAAAGTAACCTATTGTGAATAAAGTAAGAAAGTCATTAACACATCGCAAACGGGCACTTAAACTCGATGTGAATAACCAAAAGGAGGTCAAAATCGGCAAGAATCAGACCTTACAGCGTAATTAACATATATGAAATATGGCATCTTTAGTTGTTAGTTTTGCCAATAAAAATATATTTTAGATAGAATATAAAAAATGCTTTTTGTTTATTTGATCCAATCTCGAGCCGGTTTCTTAAAAACTAAACGCCTCTGAAATAGTTCCTTTTTATAAAATTTCACAACTTAAGATATAATTCAATGAAAATTATAGGGCTATAATGTGTGTTACTTTTTGGTTTCGTTATAACATTGCTTTCCCATATTTCATTTGTGATATTTTTGACATTTCAGATGTACCTAACAAAGATGAATTAACAAATGCTTTTCGCGCCTTGTTGCTAATATGGGAATCTCAACTGCATGGGGATCTGTTCAAACAATGACAATAGAAATTTAATCCAACCGTGATCAGGTATTATTCTAAATGCAATTGAAACATTTTTATATTACAAACCCGTGCAGCTTTTGCGTCTTCATAAAAGTGGAATTGCACGTCCGTGCATATATTTTGACGTGACGTCATATGCGTTATACAAACAAAGCGTAAGGTCGCGCTAAATGTTAGCGTTACACGCGTCAATGAAAACTGATTCATTAGTCTATGTTTTGGGTATGTGATAAATATAATTAATATTCATGTAGGTTCATTTTGAATTTATTGAATAAAGTAACATTTTGCGGTTCGCATAATGTACTTTTATTCAACTCGTACAATAAATTCAGAATTGAATCTACATTCATATAATATCATTTTCACTCAACATGATAAAATGCCAATATTTTCACTCGCCGTCCCGGCTCGTGGAAATATGTGGCATTTAATCATGTTTCGTGAAAAATTATTCCATATTTCACTCAAACGAAAAAATATCCTCTTAGAATTGTTAGTGTATTCCGTACAAAACACTTTCATACGAGAATTGTCAAAGCATTGTTTTCAATTCACAAAACTTGTAAATTAAATGCAATTTGTGACAAGATATCTAGTGTATAAGTTAAAGTTTTCCCCATTTTTATACTATTTATGCCGGCTCGCCACGGCGAGCCGGTATTACGGTAGGATTTTACTGAGAAACAACCTAAAACTCCGAAGCTATCCAAAAATTTAATCGAAGCTTGGCTTCCAGCTTTCTACAAAATTTATCTATCAGGGCTAGGATCCAAAATTATTTAGCCAATCAAATTTAATCTTACATAGCGTCAAAAAACCTTCAATTTTCACGCCATTTTTAAAAATCAGCAAGTATTGTTTTGAGCGCAAAGATATAATGATGATTAAAATGTTTGTCTTTATGAATTCTTTTCAATAAATCATATTTACACTGACTTCTGATTTAGCGATTTCACCTGTTTTCTCTGTTGTAAGTTTTCGTTTGGTTAATTAACATAAGTGTACATCTGGTTCTGTGCATTTTTTATTTTTCCTTTTTTCCGGTCATTTTATCCTTTCCGGTGTTTAGTGTATGTATTTACTGGCCGGGATCCGGGACGCCCGGGATCCGGGATCGTATAAGATATGGAGGAAAAACCTAATGAACTATATTTGTGTTGATTGTTTGTCGTAATGAAAGGCCATTAAACGTTAATTTTTTTATTGTATATAATGAACGTTAAATTAATTTAACTTATAATATAGATATATTAAGAGCTTTTTATTAACAAACTTAAAATGCGGAAATCACAATACTTATAATTATATGCCTAATTAATTGGAAAAATCAAAGACTATTTTCTTGAATTGGTCAAATCCCGGATCCCTATATGTTTTAAAAACGATCCCAGCTTTTCTGAAAACTATATACTTGAACTGGCCAATCCGTGAGATCTATTTACATTTTAATACGATCCCGGCTTTTCTGAAAACTATATTATTGAACTGGTCAATTCCCGGGATCCCTATATGTTTAATAGGATCCCGGCTTATCTGAAAAACATCTTCTTAGACTGGTCAATTTCCGGGATCCCTATATTTTTTAATAGGATCCCGGCTTTTCTGGCTGAATTGATTGACAACTTGTGTTTACTTTAGGACTTGTGCCTCTCATTCCAATACTAAATAACATATATGTATTACAACTTAATTTTGTATAAAGAGACATCTTTATGAAATCTACCTATCTAACATTTTGTGGTCAAGGTCAACAGGCCATATAGTAAATGTGCATAGACATAGGTTCTTCATTCAATCTGTTTACATGCACCTTCATATATACTCATACTCATCTTGGTTAAACTGAGAGAACTTTATATGTCACTTTCAGTCAATGAGTTTAAGATTTTGAATTTACTGGCCCGAATACCAGTTTTGAATTTATTCTACTAAATAATTAACAAAATTTTCTTAAATTTACCCTGGCCTGAACTTATATACACTGGCCATCGGGCACCGGGCCAGTGTTGACTTCACTTTTATTTTGATGTTCGCTGAAGTCTCTTCAGCTAACAGAACTGTCATTTTTACATTTAAACACAACCCTTGAAAAAAATTACGAAGCGAGTCGCTACTAGCTTTTTTAAAAGCTAACCTTGTTAATGTTATTTTATATAGAAATATAGGATTTGGTACACTGAGTGTTACTGGGCGTATTGGCGCTATTGTTGGCCCTCAGCTGGTGTATTTGGTAAGTTTTTTTTATTAACCCAATTTATCTTTTCAGTTATCCTTCAAAATATCTTTTCTGGCACATATGCTTTTAACCATAATGTTGTTTTTGAAATACTTTTTAATAATTTTATGAAACATATTAACTGTCTTTGAACATGTATAATATTATAAAGTAGCTATTTATTTATAAATGTATATATAGACAATGAAGTCGTATATTTTTCAGTATTTCTTCTAATTTTTATCAATTCCCACTTTTTCAGAATACCTATATACCAGGGCTTTTATACTACGCATGCGCGGCAATATCAATTATATGTGTAGTCGGAATACTTTTCTTACCTGAAACAATGGACAGAAATTTGAAAGACAGAATAAAGCAAGAGTTTGATCTAGAAAATGCTGTCATTCATGACAGCATTAAAAATAACGACAAAAACAAAGAATCACGTGAGATCAACATAAAAGAACCGACAGGACCAATTACAAAAGACAGTAGAAAGTATCCTGATGTTACTGATAGTAAAAAGACTATTCCTTATTCTGTCTCTTCAAAAACAGAAACTACTCATATGTGAATAACAGAGAAATATATTGCAATGGGAAATATACGATTTATATGCGCTTGCTGAAATTACATCAGCGTTACCTGATGGAAATTAAGTTTATTGAAACAAAATTAATGTTAAATATGTAGAAGGTAGTGTAATAAAACAACCGTCTCGTATAACCCCTGGATTGTGCTTATTAAAAAGATATCTGATACAATCTATTGTGATAAAGTTATACACATCATATCAAGACAAAAGCAAAGCACAGAAGGCGCTGAATTTGAATGTCAGAAAGGTGAAGGTTGTGAGATTATAAACCAATTTGTTTTTGTATAGTGCCATCAATGCTGTTTCCAGTGTTTTAACTGTAGTAAATTGGCTAATTGCAACACTGTTGTTCAATTCAATGTTTATTTGACTTAAACAATTGAAAATATTGAATTGCCTTAACTGGGATTTGAACTCCAGACCTCTCGCTTCCTTAGCGAGCGTGCAAACCCCTCGGCCCCGGTTAAGTTCTATCTTAACAGCCTGAAGAAAACCACATTATTCTAAATTAGGGTTTGTAACCCTTAATTATTATTTCGAAACCTGTTGTTTAATACAGATGTAAATAATCATGGAGATTACTATAAGCATGTATATCTATAAAGAATAAAACAATATTAGAAATCTTTGACCATTCGGAAACTATTTTGCTAGAAAATGAATGCGCCTGTCATTTGACAATCTTTACGCACTGATCTCCCCTGAACTTTTCGGCGTTAGTGTACATATAAAGGGAAGTAACCGCTTCAGAAAAGCGGACTACTTTCGGCATTTGCAATTAACAGCATCAGGGTCTGAAATTTCCTTACCAGTATTTGTTTGGTCTGACGACCCAAACAAATAAAAACAACATTTTCCGGGTCTCGAGGTGGCAAAGATTAGATAATGGAAGTAATCAAAATATCAACGTCGTCTGCGATACATTACCATTTAAGCTAAGCTTCCAACTTGAAAAAAAATCATTTGAAGAACTTCACTATTATCTTCGGTGGCACAAATGTGACATGTGTGTGTGTTTTTATTTATCTCGTGCACACGAGATACTATGTTGTGGCCACGAGTTACTAAGTCGTGGCCACGAGATAGTTAAGTCGTGAAAACGAGATACTATGTCGTGGCCACGAATTACTAAGTCGTGCCCACGAGATAATTAAGTCGCGGCCACGAAATACTATGTCGTGGCCACGAGATACTATGTCGTGGCCACGAGTTACTAAGTCGTGGCCACGGGTTACTAAGTCGTGGCCACGAGTTACCAAGTCTTGGGGACGAGATTATTAATCAGATTACACTATGAATTTTTTGAAGTTAGAAAAAAAATCTGTTTAAAGTTCTATATGCAACATTTATCTTTGAAAATACTGAAGTGTTCACTTAAAACGTGATACATGTCTTAAGGATTATGTTAGAAAGCCACCTTCAAAGGCCCATAAAACAGACATTAATTTTGACTAAATTATCGCCCTTTGTGAGGATAATTCTATTTAGAATTGGTCAGTTTGTACGTACAACGGCCTGTTAACCTTGTTTGTACGATAACTTGAGAAGGAATTAGCCCTGGTTTATTTTATTTGGTAGGACAATGCCCATGGACAGTAGATAGCCTATAAGGATGTTTGAAGCCAAGGGTCAAAGTAAACATAACACTTCATGTAAAATCCTTGCCTGATGAATGGTTTAGATGGAATAAGCCACGGTTTATATAACCTAGAAAGATCATTGCACCTGATCAGTAGATGGCACCTATTATTCCTTTGACCTTTACTGATCTATTTGTATCAACTTATAGAACAACAACAAAACCAAAATTCTGAATATATAGTAAATATTGTATCGAGCACTTGGGTAAAGCTTTTACAATCCATTACAATCCAACAAACATATATATAAACATATACCAGTATACTAGTAAATCTATTAATAAATACATCCATCACTTTCATATAAATGATAAAGTATCAATTCGAACAACTAATACCAATATATATATATATATATAAACCATAAACATGTAAGCATTCGTATTGTTACTAGTAAACATATTTTCCCGAACTTTTGTTAATAAACAAGTTAAATCCATGTTAAAAATTAATGCGACTGTAAAGTATCGATACCCAAAGCTGAATGACTTTCAATTACAATTCATAATGCACAGTAACTCGTGCATTCGTAATTGAACAAAACAACTTCTGATTGGTACATTCAAAAGGTCTATCCAATCCAAAGGAAATTATTTACCGCCTAATTCGCTTCACTTAACCGGCGGAAAATATATTTCCTTTGACCTTTACTGATCTATTTTATCAACTAATAGAACAACAACAAAACCAAAATTCTGAATATATAGTATATATTGTATCGAGCACTTGGGTAAAGCTGAACTAAAAGAACGGGGAAGCTTTTATAATATTCATGAAATCAGATTCAAATTTATAAACCTTAATTCTGTGATACACTTAATCTTTCAGCCAAACAGTCTTTGATATATCAATCTTTGGCGTTCTGGCTACGACATCTACCGTGTCCCTTAAAAAGTCTATCTCTTATACCGTAATTGGCAGCTGCAGAAGCACCACCTTATATGTATATGTATAATGCTAAACCCGACCACGAAATCTGAAAATTGTTTAACTTTATAATCGTCTCTTTCATACGCATGTTATCGAAAGCTTGCCAAATTGTTAAAAATTCTGGCAATTATAAAGGCAGCCATGTCAATTAAACAATATGTTTATTTAATACTTCATACACATTATCAAGGTTTGTCAGCCTACATAGAATATACTAATCTATGTAGCAATTATAATGGCAGCTGCGCCAAATAAACAAGTTATACATATTATTAAAGCTTGTCAGCCTAAACAGAATATTTCAATCTATATTGCGATTATATAGGCAGCCATGGCCACATTATAAACTACAGATACGACTTCTATTTAAAAATACATGTATTAATCAAAACAACGATACAATCTATTCTTGGGAGAAATTTTTTTGCAATACATTAATCAAAGATATGCTACTAGGGAATTTACTTTTTTCAAATACATTTTATTAGCTTTGTCATG